AAATAGTGACATTGGGTTTTAGCTAGAACCCCACTAGCAAGGACACATATCCCTACGTCCCTCAGGAATAGCCTTGCATCTGAGCCATTTTATTTCACCAGAAAATGAAGTTGTATTTACAAGTAGTTTTGCATATCTGCTTATAAGCAAACGATGCTATATATGAACATTTTTCTAAATGTTTACATTGCCAGGAAATTCCAAAATACTCAAAGGAACGCCAAGTGTGTTATGTTTCTCTTAGAGATGAAGCAAGTTGAGATGTAGGAACAGTATGTTGCAGTGCTCTCCGCGGAGAAATGCTCAGATGACAATGAAGTGCAAACAAGATGGGTAATTCCTCCATTCTGTAGGCTTCATTAAAGCTGTAATTCCTAACTACGTCAGATTTGCAGACTGCACAGGCTTAAGAGCAGATGTATACACGAGAGCTCCTGTAGATATTTGGCTCCTATCCTGTGATTGCCAATATTTGATACACCAGACACTCTGAACTTATAAGAAATTGTTGCATAAGGAGTTTCTTTTAGTGACTCTGCTCAGCAAGGCAATGCATGTTGACCCTCATCCTCTTTCAATTTTGGAAGTCACTCTACTTTCCTCACTCTAGAGTTGAGGACTGCAAGGATTCTCTTTTAGAGTTTCTGTGAATCCTTGGTTACTTATTCAATAAACATGACTTAGAATGCCCCTTTAGCATGAGGCATATAAATTTATCTTTAGAAAGATAGCCCTCAAGGATTTGTAATTTGTTGCTGATTAAAAAGAAATGAATAGGGGAGCCTGGGTGGCTCAGTTGGTTGAGTGACTGCCTTCGGCTCAGGTCACGATCCTGGAGTCCCTGGATCGAGTCCCACACCGGGCTCCTTGCTTGGCGGGGACCCTCTGACCCTCCCCCCCTCTCATGTGCTCTCTCTCTCATTCTCTCTCTCTCAAATAAATAAATAAAATCCTTAAAAAAATAAAATAAAATAAAAAATAAATAAATAAATAGAAAGAAACGAATAGAGAATTTATGATTTGCTAGCAGTATTTGATGAAAATATGAATCAATACCCTTAAAAAAATGATACAATTGCTTTTAGACAGCTAATCTACTACAGATGAAAAAAATCTTAGATTCGTTGCATATTGCGATTGATGTTTTTAAGTTCTTGTTTTTCTTTCTTTTTTTAAGAGGCTTCTGAACTTGATTTACTCTATTTGCAGAAACAACTCCACTTTTATCATTTTATTTTAATAGCCACTTCCTTCCCAATACAAAACAATTTTTAAGCCTCTCTTTAGGACAGATAATGACACTCCCTGTGTATGGAAAATATTGGTTATTTTTTTAAAGATTTTTAATTAATAGACAATATTATAAAACAGGTTTTAAAAATAGACACGGTCAAGATTTCAGAATAATATGTAAGATGTATACGTATCTCCAAATTCATCAAGTTGTATACATTAAATATGTAGTTTTTTGTGTATCAATCATACCTAAATAAAATGGATTAAATTTTTTTTAAATAGAATGTTAGAAGGCATCACCAAAATATACATGATCACTTGTCATAAATACATAATATGAGTAACTTTTAAGTTATCTGAACTTCATTACGTGTGAAAATATGAATTTTAAGCTGTGTTGGTGGGACAGGAGAGTGTTTTGGCTGTTCTATGTATTGCATGACTCCAAATTGTATCTCTTTGGATAAGTCCATCCAGTAGGTAGACCAGCAACATGCAGCCAGCTGGGTTAAGCCTTCTCATGAGGACCTTCAAGGAAAGCAAGCTAATACCTTTCTTATCTCCTTTTCAAAAATTTAACATCTTTGTAAACACCTGGAAAGATGACCATCCCATGGGAATTTCCCATCTTGTGCACAAAAGTAATATTGTTCTTGGTAAATGGTTAAAGATGATGTTACTTTTACTGTTTTATCAAGAGGTATTTTAAGTATTGTTTAAAAACATCTAGCTATTTTTAAGCATTAACCTTTTTTCTCTAATCTAGTAAAATTTTAATATGCCATGATGTTTAAAATTTTAGAGCTAACGTAGAAAGCAAGTCACATTGCAGATGCCAATATATCTATGAGCTAAACTGGTATCTCCTAATTCCCTAAGTGTAGTAACTGTCAACAGAACATGAATCTGAATAAAAGCCTCTGTAAACTTCTAGTGTACCTCTGAAGTTTAGACATTTAGAAGTGTTTGCCAAGTTACTATTCATCTCGGTATGAATGGCTTTGACCTTGAGTCTCTGGGCTACTTCAAGATAGTTTCATTTGCTCTATTAACACTAGTCCTAATGCGTATCACATTCATAAGGAGCCAGTTTGGCATCCTTTGAAAAATAAGCAGATAAAAATAAAGATTTTTCAATAGTTAGAACACAGGGCAAACAATGGGCATTTATTTTTGTTCATTTCTTTCCCACTGTGGAATAAAATGCCAAGCATATTGATAATTGTTCAGACAAACCCATGAGTCATATTATCACCACTGCACA